GCTCATGTCTGTAATCCCAACACTTTGGGAGGCTGAGGCGGGTGCATCACCTGAGGTCAGGAGTTTGAGACCAGCCTGAAGAGAATGAAAAGACAAGCCACTGACTGAGAAAATATTTGCAAAAGATATATCTGATAAAGAACAAAATATACAAAGAACTCTGAAAACCCAGCAATAAGAAAATAACTCAATTAAAAAATTGGCCAAACTCCTTAATATACAAAGAAAACATACAGATGTCAAAAAAGCATATGAAAAATTGTTTCACATCATATGTCATCAGGGAAGTGCAAATTAAGACAATGAGATACCACACAAATATGAAATGGCCCCAATCCAGAACACTGACAACATCGAAGCTGGCAAGGATGTGGAGCAACAGGAACTTGCATTCATTGCTAGTGAGAATGCAAAATGGTATAGCCACTTTGGAAGACAGTTTGGCCGTTTTTTAAAAAACTAAACATACTCTTACATAAGATCCAGCAGTTGTGCTCCATAGTATTTACCCACAGGACTTGAAAGCTTACACCCACACAAAAGCCTGCACATGGATGTTTAGAGCAGCTTTATTCATAATTGCCCACCTTTGGAAGCAACCAAGATGTTGCTCAGTAGATGAATGGATAAATAAACTGTGGTACATCCAGACAATGGAATATTATTCAGCACTAAAAAGCAATGAGCTATGAAGCCATAACAAGACATGGAGGAAACATAAATGCATATCACTAAGTGAAAGAAGCCAATCTGAAAAGGCTACATATGGTGTGATTCCACCTATATGACATTCTGGAAAAGGCAAAACTATGGAGACTATAAAAAGATCAGTGGTTGCCAGGGCTTGAGGGGAGGGAGGGATAAATAGGGAGAACACAGGATTTTTAGGGCAGTGAAACCACTCTGTGATACTATAATAATGGATACATGTCATTGCACATTCGTCAAAACCCTTGAATGTACAACACCAAGAGTGAGGTCTAATGTAACATATGGACTTTGAGTGATAATGATGTGTCAGTGTAGGTTCATCAGTTGTAACAACTGTACATTTTTAGTGTGGGATGATGATAATGGAGGTTATGCATGTGTGGGAGCAAAGGGTATATGGAAATCTTTTTCCTTGCAATTTTGCTATGACCCTAAATCTGTTCTAAATAAAGTCATATATATGTATATGTACGTGTAGATATATATGTATATGTAGTCACACCAAGAGCCTAGTAAGTAGGGTTGGCTTTTTTCACATTATTTCAGTTTTCTGATGTTGATGGTGTTTGGTGCAACATAACTGAATTATATATCCACACTAATATCATCCTGCCACATTCAAGCTCTTATAAGATTTGAGTGCCTGGCCGGGTGCGGTGTCTCACGTCTATAATCTCAGCACTTTGGGAGGCCAAGGCAGGTGGATCACTTGAGGTCTGGAGTTTGAGACCAGCCTGACCAACATGGAGAAGCCCCATCTCTACTAAAAATACAAAATTAGTCGGGCATGGTGGCGCATGCCTATAATCCCAGCTACTCGGGAGGCTGAGGCAGGAGAATCACTTGAACCTGGGAGGCGTAGGTTGCAGTGAGCCAAGATCGTGCCATTGCACTCCAGCCTGGGCAACAAGAGCCAAACTCAGTCTCCAAAAAAAAAAAAAACAAAAAAAAAAACGTTTGAGTGCCTAATCAGCATGGATTGAAACATTATTTAGTGAGAATCAGATATTTTTACCAGCATCTTGTCTAGATTCTCTAAGCCTTAAAAATGAAGACCTGGACAGGCATATTGGCTCACACCTATAATCTCAGCACTTAGGGAAGCTGTGGTGGGAGGGTCGCTTGAGCCCAAGAGTTTGAGACCAGTCCTGGCAACATAGTGAGATCTCAACTCTACAGTAATTTTTAAAAATAGCTAGGTGTGGTTGCACATGCCTATAGTCTCAAGTAGTCAGAAGGCTGAGGCAGGAAGATGGCTTGAGCCTGGGAGGTTGAAGTACAGTGAGCTATGGTTGCACCACTGCATTCCATCCTGGGTGACAAAGCAAGACCCTGTCTCCAAAAAAAAAAAAAAAAAAAAAAAAACTGAGAAGCATATGTTGGAATTAGAAATATATATATACCATTAGACCCAAGGAAAATGGAACCAAGTTTAGTAATACACAGGAAAACAGTCTCCTACATAAAGCAACTGACTAATCAAGACTATGAAAAAAAAGCCCCCTTTCAACTATGTTAAATAGCAAAGAATGGTAAATGCCAAGTATAGTAGGACAAATATATATGTTACAGGTAACCAATATTCCTTTCCAGAATAATGCTAAGAGTTTTTCCATGAGCACTTCATTATGGAACTCTTACATGGATTGCTGAGTATAGATAAATAAATGACTGCTTTAAGAGTTTTTTTCCCCTTTTCAGTTTTCTTTTTTTTTTTTTGCCTCCTGTTTATATCTGCGTATGTGCGAGAGAGAGAGAGAGAGAGGGAAGCATAAAGCAAATATGTACATTTTAAAAACAGAAAGCAAACATCCATGTAATTGTCATCAAAATCAGGAAATAGGACATTGCTGGCCCCCAAGAATGCCCCGTTTAGGTTGTGTTTCTGTGCTTCTATAAGACACAAGAATGACCCAAGAATGCCCTTGTTTCCGTGGTGTTTGTGATGTCAAGTGAGCACTCAACAAGCACAGGTGCATCAGGAAAATGCATATATTTCACCATAAAATTTGTATTTACTTGTTATCATCACTCTATCCACAAAAAGCTGCTTCTGCAATCAAAGTTGTATACTAATATGGGAAAGACACCTGCGGAGCGAAATATAGTAGTGAACTTCCATGTGCCAGGTAGTGCTAGGAGGTAGATGCCTTTTCAACAAAAGCTGTATTGTTTCTTAAAATCTGATGTAAAAATAATAGGGGGTGGAGGGGATTATTCACTTCAGGTCCTAGGATTTTATAATATAACTCCTCCCCTCCTCCCTGCCAGCTCTGGAGGTCTGGGTGATCTCCTCTTGGCTTCTCATTCTCCTTCTTTCTCTCCCTCCCTTCCTTCACATACCTCCTATTTTTTTTTTTTTTTTTTTTTTTAGACTGAGTCTTGCTCTGTTGCCCGGGCTGGAGTCCAGTGACACGATCTTGGCTCACTGCAACCCCCGCCTCCTGGGTTCAAGTGATTCTCGTGCCTCAGCTTCCCGAGTAGCTGGGGTTACAGGCACCCACCACCACCCCTGGCTAATTGTTGTATTTTTAGTAGAGACAGGGTTTTGCCATGTTGGTCAGGCTGGTCTTGAACTTCTGACCTCAAGCAATCCACCTGCCTCGGCCTCCCAAGGTGTTGGGATTACAGGCATTAAGCCACTGCACCCGACCTCTCCTGTCTATTTTAACCAGTTCCTGATATTCTTGTATCATACCTTTGGGCTAATGTCCCTAGACCCAGGGGCAATGGAGCCACCCAGCTTGTTTGCAACAATTTCCTGATGGAAATAGTGTTAGATGTGAGGCCGCTCTTTCTTGGAAGACCCTTGCTTGAGCTCCTTGAGGAAGTCCTGCCCTTCTTAAAAGCCTCCCTCAAATCTCATCATGTTTGTCATCTTGAGGTCACCTAGTTGGATTTAATCTCTTTCTACTCCCATATCTTCTATCTGTCTTTTAGCACTGATGACAGTGGTTTATGTTAGGATTGTATCTGTAAGTGCCTCTCACTCCTGCTGGTCAGGGACCGTAGCTCTCTTAACCACTGTATTCCCTACTACTAGTGCTGCGCTTTACCCCAGAGCAGGCTTACTAAATGGCTGAATTGATTTGTTGAATCTAGAATATTTAAAATGTGATCACTGCTGGACATAGTGGCTCACATCTGTAATCCCAGCACTTTGGGAGGCCAAAGTGGGTGGATTGCTTGAGCTCAGGCGTTTGAGACCAGCCTGGGCAACATAGCGAGACTTTATCTCTGTTAAAACCAAGAAAATTAGCCAGGTATGGTGGTACGCATCTGTGGTCCCAGCTATTTGGGAGGCTGAGGTGGGGGGATCACTTGAGCCTGGGACATCGAGGCTTCAGTGAGCTGTGATCACGCCATTGCACTCCACTCTGGGCAACAGAGCGAGACTTTGTCTCTAAATAAATAAATAAAAATAAGATGTGATCAGGCCAGGTACAGTGGCTCACATCTGTAATCCCAGCACTTTGGGAGGCTGAGGCAGGAGGATTGCTTGAGCCCAGGAGTTCAAGACCAGCCTGGGCAACATGGTGAGATCCTGTCTCTATAAAAAATAAAGACGTAGCTGGGTGCAGTGACACACACCTGTAGTCTCAGCTACTTGGGATGTGGAGGTGGGAGGATCACTTGAGTCCAGGAGTTTGAGGCTGCAGTGAATTATGTTCATGCCATTGCACTCCAGCCTGTATAACAGAGAACCTACCTCAAAAAAAGAAAAAAAAAAATGTGGCTGGGCGCCATGGTTCATGCCTGTAATCCCAGCACTTTGGGAGGCTGAGGCAGGTGGATCACTCAAGGCCAGGCGTTCAAGACCAGCCTGGCCAACATGGTGAAAGCCCATCTCTACTAAAAATATAAAAATTAGCTGGGCGTGGTGGTACGTATCTGTAATCCCAGCTACTCGGGAGGATGAGGCAGAGAATTGCTTGAACCGGGACGGCAGAGGCTGCAGTGAGCCGAAATCATGCCACTGCACTCCAGCCTGGGTGACAGAGTGAGACTCTATCTCAAAAAAATAAAAAGAAAAAAATGTGATCAATTTGACATTTTCCTATGCAGCATCTCAGGCATGTTATCTATAAAATTCACCATGAAGACCGAATATATGTTAAATGTTTTGAAGCTCCACCTTTGGAAATGTACCTTTTCCTCTTCCACTATTAAAGTAAAGAAGGAATTATTCAATGTTGTATGGTCGTAAAATAAAAGATTATGAATGACAGATAGTGAAGTGAGTTTACAACCTCTATTAATCTATTGGTGTCCTTGTCCATTCTGTGCAGTCACTTCAGCTTTCTCCGGGACAATACAATGTGCTTCCTGCACCGGTTCCCAAATATGCTTCCAGGTAATTATATACTTACTAAATAGGCCGCCTTTCTGTTTACATACCTACATGCCAATCCTCATGGCTTTTAAACCTCATTTATGCACCTCATATGCAGATTAACATTTTAAAATATTTAATGAAAGATAGGGAATAAGTTAACAAAGATCTTTAAAAAATAGATTTAGAAAATCATTTTTCTTTTTTTTTTTTTTTAATATAGGAGCTGTGTATTTCGCTCAACAGTTCAAAGATTCCCAACAACCTATTTTATTCCTGTAAGTATAATGTAGACAGTTAACTCATGATGAATTTGATGTTTAAAATATGCTGTGCTTTCTGGAGTGGAGCAAGATGGCCAAATAGAACCCTCCTGTGAGCGTTCCCCCTAGCAGGAACACTAAACTGAACAATTATTCACACAAGAAAACACCTCTATAAGAACCAAACAGCAGGTGTGGGATCGCAATACCAGGTTTTAACTTTGTGTTAAGGAAAGAGGCACTGAAGAGGGTAGGGTAGAAAAGACAGTCTTGAATTGCCAACACCACCCTCCCCCATCCCCTGGCAGCAGCCATGTGGCATGAAGAGAGAATCTGCCCTTGGGGAAAAGGGAATGCTGTGATGGTGGGACTTTGCACAGGAACACAGTGCTGGCTGTCACAGGGAAAGCAACACAGGACAGAATTCAGTTGGTGCCCATGGAGGGAGCATTTAGACCAGCCCTAGCCCATCCCAGCTGTTTGATACTGAGTTCCAGCTCTCTCTACCACTGTGGGCTGAAGTGCTCTGAGGTCCTAAATAAGCTTGAAAGGCAGTCTAGGCCACAAGGACTGCAATTCCTGGGCAAGTTCTGGTGCTGTGCTGGGCTCAGAGGCAGTGGACTTCGGGTACATAAGACCTAGTGAGACACCAGCTGGGGCAGCCAAGGGAGTGCTTGTAGCAGCCATCCCCCAGCCCCAGGCAGCACAGCTTGCAGCTTCAAGAGAGACGCCTTCCTTTCGCTTGAGAGGAGGAGAGGGGAGAGTAAAGAGGACTTGTCTTGCAATCTGGATACCAGCTCAGCCACAGCAGAACAGGGCACCTCAGGCAGAGTCCCGAGGCCCCCATTCCAGGCCCTAGCTCTCAGACATTTCTAGACACATCTCTGGTCAGAAGAGAATCCACTGCCTTAAAGAGAAGGACCCAGTTCTGGCAAGATTCATAACTTACTGACTAAAGAGCCCTTGGGCTTTGAATAAACACCAGCAGTGGCCAGACAACACTCACTGCAGACCTTAGCCAGACAGTGCTGTGCTGCGTCAGGTGTGACCCAGCACATTCCCAGCTACAGTGGTCACAGGGAGAGACTACTGCTTGAGGAAAGGAGAGGGATGAGCAAAGGGGATTTTGTCTTGCTGCTTGGGTACCAGTTCAGCCACAGTGAAGTAGAGCACCAAGCAGGCTCCTGGGGTTCCCAATTCCAGGCCTTGGCTCCTGGATGGCATTTCTGGACTCCCACTGGGCCAGAGGGGAGCCCATTGCCCTGAAGGGAGAGACCTAGGCCTGGCAGCATTCCCCACAAGCTGACTGAAGAGCCTTGAGTGAACATTAGTGGTATCCAGCCAGTACTTGCTACAGGCCTGGGTGGTTGTGTCCATAGAGAGACTCCTGCTTGAGGAGAGGGGAGGGAAGAGTGGGAAGAACTTTGTCTTCTGGCATGGGTGCCAGCTCAGCTGCAGTAGAATAGAGTACCAAACAAATTCCTAAGTTTCCTGACTCCAGGGCCTGGCTCCCAGATGGCATTTCTGGTCTGCACTGGGCCCAAGGGGCAGCATGCTGCCTTGAAGGGAAGAGCTTTTGTTTGGGCCTTGAGTGAACATGGGCAGTAGCTAGGCAGTAGTTACTGCAGGCCTTGGGTGAGACCCAGTACCATGCTGGCTTTGGCTCTGACCCAGCGCAGTCCCAGGGATATTAGCCATAGAGGTGCTTGTGTCATCCCTCCCTCAGCTTTAGCCATCTCAGTACAAAGAGAGACTTCGTTTGTTTGGGGGAAGGGAAGGGAAGAGAACCAGAGTCTCTGCCTGGTAATCCAGAGAACTCTCTCAGATCTTATCCAAGACAACCAAGGCAGTACCTCTACAAGTCTACCAGAATCACAGCAATTACTAGGCTTGGGGTGCCCTCTAATGCAGATGCAGCTACAGTGACCAAAGACAGATTACAGTGCTTAATTCCCTTTGAATACTTGGAAAGCCTTCCCAAGAAGGACAGGTACAAACAAGACCAGCTGCGAAGACTACAATAAACACCTAACTCTACAATGCCCAGACATTGGCAAGCATACAAGTATCAAGACCATCTAGTGAAACACAACCTCACCAGTTGAACTAAATAAAGCACCAGTGACCAATCCCAGAGTGACAGAGATATGTGACCTTTCAGACAGAGACCTCAAAATAGCTGTTTTGACAAAGTGCAGCAAAATTTAAGATGACACAGAGAAAGAATTCAGAATTCTATCAGATAAATTTAGCAAACAAATCAAAATAATTTTAAAAAATCAAGCAGATACTCTGGAGCTGAAAAATTCAATTGACATACTGAAGAATACATCAAAGTCTCCCAATAGCAGAACTGATCACACAGAAGAAAAAATTTGTGAGCTTGGATGGGGTACAGTGGCTCATGTCTGTAATTCCAGCACTTTGGGAGGCTGAGGCGGCAGATGTCTTGAGGCCAGGACTTCAAGACCAGTCTGGCCAACATGGCAAAAGCTCGTCTCTACTAAAAATACAAAAATTATCTGGGTGTGGTGGTGCACACCTGTAATCCCAGCTACTTGAGAGGCTGAGGTATGAGAATCGCTTGAATCTGGGAGGTGGAGGTTGCAGTGAGCCAAGATTGTGCCACTGCACTCCAGCCTGGGCGACAGAGTGAGACTCTGTCTCAAAAAAACAAAACAAAACAAAACAAAAAGAATTAGTGAGCTTGAAGACAAGCTATTTGAAAACACAGTCAGAGGAGACAAAAGAAAAAAGAATGAAGAATGCTTACAGAATCTATAAAATAGCCTCAAAAGGGCAAATCTAAGAGTTACTGGCCTTAAAGAGAGAGATTGAAGTAGAAAGTTTATTCAAAGGGATAATAACAGGGACCATTCCAAACCTAGAGAAAGATAGAAATATTGAAGTACAAGAAGGTTATAGAACACTAAGCATATTTAACCCAAATAAGACCACCTCAAGACATTTAATAAACTCCCAAAAGTCAAGGACAAAGAAAGAATCCTAAAGCACAAGAGGAAAGAAGAAAATAACATAGAATGGAGCACCTATACATCTGGCAGCGGACTTCTCAGTGGAAACCTTACAGCCCAGGAGTGAGTGACATGACATATTTAAAGTGCTGAAAGAAAAAAACATCCTGGAATAGTATAGTTAGTAAAAAATCCTTAAAATGTGAAGGATACTTTCCCAGACAACCAAAGCTAAGGCAGTTCAACACCAGACCTGTCCTACAAGAAACGCTAAAGGGAGTTCTTCAAATTCTGAAAGGAAAGGACATTAATGAGCAACAAGAAATAATCTGAGGCCAGGTGCAGTGGCTCATGCCTGCAATATCAGCACTTTGGGAGACTGAGGCAGGAGGATTGCTTGAGTCCAGGAGTTCAAGACCAGCCTAGGCAACATAGAGAGACTCCATCTCTACAAAAAATTTTAAAAATTAGCTGGGCATGATGACATGCACCTGTGGTCCCAGCTACTCAGGTAGGCTGAGGTGGGAAGATCACTTGAGCCAAGGAGGTTGAGGCTGCAGCGAGCCATGTGTGTGCCACTGCAGCCCAGCCTGGGCAGCAGAACAAGACCGTGTCTGAAGAAGAAAAAGGAGAAGGAGAGAAAGAAGAAAGAAGAAGAAGAGGAAGAAGAAGAGGAGGAGGAAGAAGAGGAAGGAAAGAAAGAAGAAAGAAACCTAAAACTTTACATGGAACCACAAAAGACCCAGAATAGCTAAAATCATCCTGAGCAAAATGAACAAAACTGAAAGAATCATATTACCTGACTTCAAATTATACTGCAGAGCTATTGTAGCAAAAACAGTATGGTAGCATAAAAACAGACACATAGACCAATGGAACAGAATAGAGAACGCAGAAATAAATCCATATATCTACAGTGAATTCATTTTTGACACAGGTGCCAAGAATACACATTGGGGAAAGGACAGTCTCTTCAATAAATGGTGCAGGGAAATGTGGATATCCATATGAAGAAGAATGAAACTAGAACCCTATCTCTTGCCATTTTACAAAAATCAAATCAAAATGGATTAAAGACTTAAATCTGGCTGGGTGTGGTGGCTCATGCATGTAATCCTAGCACTTTGGGAGGCAAAGGCAGGAGGATCCCTTGAGCCCAGGAATTCGAGACCAGCCTGGGCAACATAGGAGACCCTGTCTCTAGTTTAAAAAAACAAAAACATAACATAAATCTAAGACCTCAAACTATGAAACTATCAAAACAAAACATTGAGGAAACTCCAGGACATTGGTCTGGGCAAAGATTTCTTGAATTACACCCCACAGGCACAGGCAACCAAAGCAAAAATGGATAAATGGGATCACATCAAGTTAAAAAGTTTCTGCACAACCAAGGAAACAGTCAACAAAGTGAAGAGATGACCCACATAATGGGGGACAATATTTGCAAACTATCCATCTGACAAAGGATTAATAACCAGAATATATAAAGAGCTCAAAAAACTCAATAGGAAAAAGGTCTTTTTATTTGAGACAAGGTCTTGCTTTTTCACCCAGGCTGAAGTGTGGTGATGCAAACACAGCTCACTGCAGCCTCGACCTCCCTGGAGCAAGCAATCCTTCCCCTCAGTCCCGCAAGTAGCTGGGATTACAGGTGCATGCCACCGCACCCAGCAAATTTTTGTATTTTTTGTAGAAATGGGTTCTTGCCATGTTGCCCAGGCTGGTCTTGAACTCCTGAGCTCAAGCGATCTGCCCACCTTGGCCTCCCAAAGTGGTGGAATTACAGGCATAAGCCACTGTGCCCAACCTTAATAGGAAAACATCTGATAATCTGTTTTAAAAAATAGGCAAAAGATCTGAATAGACATTTCTCAAAAGAAGACATACAAATGACCAACAGGTGTATAAAATGGTGCTCAACATCATTAATCATCAGAGAAATGCAAATCAAAACTACAATGAGATATCATTGCATCCCAGTTTAAATGGCTTATATCCAAATTACAGGCAATAGTGAATGCTGGCGAGGATGTGGAA